AGAAAGATACCAAATTGTAATTTGGTATAATAATTTATCTTTGCCTAAGTAAACCTATAGTTTTAAAGTTTAAAACCATTTTTTTTTTAACCACGTAAACCATTTTTGAATGAATGAACGGCCAAATAAATATACACTAAATAGTATGCTTATTAAATCATATAATTACGATACCAATAGCTACAGTAGGCTACATGAACTTCTCACCATGCCATCAGAGCAGTTGGATCTCGGGCTGGAGGCATCGGAGTCCCCACTGTAATGTTCCAGAACGGGATAGTAGTTCTCCTCTTGACCCCTGAGCAGCGCCTGCAGAGACTCAATGTAACTAACACGTAAACCTTGAATGAATGAACGGCCAAATAAATATACACTAAATAGTATGCTTATTAAATAATATAATTACGATACCAATAGCTACAGTAGGCTACATGAACTTCTCACCATGCCATCAGAGCAGTTGGATCTCGGGCGGGCTGCATCGGAGTCTCCACTGTAATGTTCCAGAACGGGATAGTAGTTCTCCTCTTGACCCCTGAGCAGCGCCTGCAGAGACTCAATGTAACTAATGGCGTTTCTCAGAATCTCCACTTTGGGCAGCCTCTGGTTGGGGTTGGTGGACGTGCATCTCCTGAGGGTCTCGAAAGCGTCGTTGACTTTGCTCAGTCTTCTCCTCTCCCTCATGGTGGCGGCTTTGCGGCGGTCAGCGTTGGTGGTTTTTCTCTTGCAGGCTTTGCATGCCCACAGCAGGCACCTGCCGGCCTGATGATGCCCGCTGGGCGCCCTCACGTGCTCGTCCTCCATGTGGTGATGCTCGTCGGGCTTCAGCAGGCTCAGGTGGACGAGCCTGGGGTCCAGGTCTTCAAAGAAGTGCATGTCGTTGGTGTTGAAGCAAGGGTCGTCGTAGAAATCATCAGCTGATGGGATGGGGAAGGGAATATCCGACAACTCCATCTTTATGTGTTAAGGTTAAAACAAATGGATAGGCCTATAGCTACTTGAATGCTTCCCAAGTAGTAACGTTTTTTGGAATATTAAGACAAATTCCTTCCGATCCTGAAACAACGTATTGCCCAACACAACCTTTAAAAATCGCAGATCCTGGAAAAGTTTCTGCTTGTACCCTTCAGGTACTTGTTGCTGGTGAGAGATCACGGCCTGGTTATATACAGCCCAGGCGGTCGGGGGGCGTGTCCTGCAGAAGACAGTTCGACCAATGAACGTGCGTTGAGAAAGAGGGCGTGGTTTTGACGGCCTGGCACTTCAGCTAATGACGGGGCCATAAAAATGTTAAAATGATGAATTCATTTATAAATAATGGTAAGAGTTGCTCTTACTGCTTTTTTTTCGTATGTATATTGGATTAAAATATATTTTATCTGTTTATTTGTCATCAAGTCACAGATTTTAGCATATAGGCCTATTACAATTTCATGAAAGATTCGAGGAAGGACTTCTCTTTTATCTTTTCTAAGGGAATCTTTCAACTATTATTTGTTTAGGCCTATTAATAAGTACATAACTTCGTACTATTTGATAAGACGGCAAACAACTGTTCAGTAATAGCCTAAATGCGCTGTTAACATTTTGTTTTAGTTTCCTAGTGCTCCATGCATAAATGTTCCTAGTGCTCAATCGCAAATCTCAAACGAACGCGAGTGATAAATAACTCAAAATATCGTTAAAATACATTGAAATACATGCACGCGTATAGCAGTTTAGGCTTAAAAAGATTTAATGTTATGGATGCTTATCAGTGTATGTTGCTCAAAACTGAGAAAAAAAACGTACTCTGAATAATTTTTGGCTTAGGATATATATTTTTTGGCTTAGAACAGTTGTTTAATGAATCACTGGAGCACTGCTACACTCATTTATTAAACATACATCTGCTTTAAATAACAATAAAACACAAACACTATATATCAATAAAATCACACACTAGCACAACGTGGGCAGATTACAAATGCTTTTTTCCAAGGTGCACTTTATTTTAAAACCATTGTTTTTTTAACCACGTAAACCATTTTTGAATGAATGAACGGCCAAATAAATATACACTAAATAGTATGCTTATTAAATCATATAATTACGATACCAATAGCTACAGTAGGCTACATGAACTTCTCACCATGCCATCAGAGCAGTTGGATCTCGGGCTGGAGGCATCGGAGTCCCCACTGTAATGTTCCAGAACGGGATAGTAGTTCTCCTCTTGACCCCTGAGCAGCGCCTGCAGAGACTCAATGTAACTAATGGCGTTTCTCAGAATCTCCACTTTGGGCAGCCTCTGGTTGGGGTTGGTGGACGTGCATCTCCTGAGGGTCTCGAAAGCGTCGTTGACTTTGCTCAGTCTTCTCCTCTCCCTCATGGTGGCGGCTTTGCGGCGGTCAGCGTTGGTGGTTTTTCTCTTGCAGGCTTAGTTTTAAAGTTTAAAACCATTTTTTTTTTAACCACGTAAACCATTTTTGAATGAATGAACGGCCAAATAAATATACACTAAATAGTATGCTTATTAAATAATATAATTACGATACCAATAGCTACAGTAGGCTACATGAACTTCTCACCATGCCATCAGAGCAGTTGGATCTCGGGCTGGAGGCATCGGAGTCCCCACTGTAATGTTCCAGAACGGGATAGTAGTTCTCCTCTTGACCCCTGAGCAGCGCCTGCAGAGACTCAATGTAACTAATGGCGTTTCTCAGAATCTCCACTTTGGGCAGCCTCTGGTTGGGGTTGGTGGACGTGCATCTCTTGAGGGTCTCGAAAGCGTCGTTGACTTTGCTCAGTCTTCTCCTCTCCCTCATGGTGGCGGCTTTGCGGCGGTCAGCGTTGGTGGTTTTTCTCTTGCAGGCTTTGCATGCCCACAGCAGGCACCTGCCGGCCTGATGATGCCCGCTGGGCGCCCTCACGTGCTCGTCCTCCATGTGGTGATGCTCGTCGGGCTTCAGCAGGCTCAGGTGGACGAGCCTGGGGTCCAGGTCTTCAAAGAAGTGCATGTCGTTGGTGTTGAAGCAAGGGTCGTCGTAGAAATCATCAGCTGATGGGATGGGGAAGGGAATATCCGACAACTCCATCTTTATGTGTTAAGGTTAAAACAAATGGATAGGCCTATAGCTACTTGAATGCTTCCCAAGTAGTAACGTTTTTTGGAATATTAAGACAAATTCCTTCCGATCCTGAAACAACGTATTGCCCAACACAACCTTTAAAAATCGCAGATCCTGGAAAAGTTTCTGCTTGTACCCTTCAGGTACTTGTTGCTGGTGAGAGATCACGGCCTGGTTATATACAGCCCAGGCGGTCGGGGGGCGTGTCCTGCAGAAGACAGTTCGACCAATGAACGTGCGTTGAGAAAGAGGGCGTGGTTTTGACGGCCTGGCACTTCAGCTAATGACGGGGCCATAAAAATGTTAAAATGATGAATTCATTTATAAATAATGGTAAGAGTTGCTCTTACTGCTTTTTTTTCGTATGTATATTGGATTAAAATATCTTTTATCTGTTTATTTGTCATCAAGTCACAGATTTTAGCATATAGGCCTATTACAATTTCATGAAAGATTCGAGGAAGGACTTCTCTTTTATCTTTTCTAAGGGAATCTTTCAACTATTATTTGTTTAGGCCTATTAATAAGTACATAACTTCGTACTATTTGATAAGACGGCAAACAACTGTTCAGTAATAGCCTAAATGCGCTGTTAACATTTTGTTTTAGTTTCCTAGTGCTCCATGCATAAATGTTCCTAGTGCTCAATCGCAAATCTCAAACGAACGCGAGTGATAAATAACTCAAAATATCGTTAAAATACATTGAAATACATGCACGCGTATAGCAGTTTAGGCTTAAAAAGATTTAATGTTATGGATGCTTATCAGTGTATGTTGCTCAAAACTGAGAAAAAAAACGTACTCTGAATAATTTTTGGCTTAGGATATATATTTTTTGGCTTAGAACAGTTGTTTAATGAATCACTGGAGCACTGCTACACTCATTTATTAAACATACATCTGCTTTAAATAACAATAAAACACAAACACTATATATCAATAAAATCACACACTAGCACAACGTGGGCAGATTACAAATGCTTTTTTCCAAGGTGCACTTTATTTATTTATTACAGAAAAATCTACTAGGTAAAGTCATTTCATGATCTAAAGTTCATGATCTGTTTATGATGTGGCCCATTTTACTCAACGTTTCTTACTCTAGCTGCAAGACGCACAACAGTTCAACAACAGGGGGCGTTAAAGAGCCAGCAGAGTTAAAAACTTATTTTCTGTTTGAAAAGCCCCAAATGTGTGTGAGTGTGTGTGTGTGTGTGTGTGAGAGAGAGAGAGTTAACATATTTTAAAGTCTACAGTAAGTCATAAAATCTCTACAATAACACAATCATATTTTACTGCAAAACAGGTACTTTTTATACTATAAAGAAACAAATACACAATGGCATATAAAATGTGGACACTGTTTATTAAAACCAGTGCAGGATAACATTCAAAAAAGTCAAGGTAAAATAGAATAAAATAGAATAGAAGTAAAATATTTCATCTTCCAAAAATACAAATATATAATTTCATTTTGAAAGAATGCTCACAAAACCAAAGACGTGCAAATTTAAAATATATATTTACTTATTTTTTTTGGATTTACTTTTTTTTAATTCTCACGCACAGGATAAACAGGTCAATGCAGTATTCAATATATCAATGTGAAGCACTAATAAATGGAAAAAAAAAAAAAAAACAGTTGGCTTACTGTCACTGAAGAATATACAATGTTTTCTTCCAAAAATACAAATATATAATTTCATTTTGAAAGAATGCTCACAAAACCAAAGACGTGCAAATTTAAAATATATATTTACTTATTTTTTTTGGATTTACTTTTTTTTAATTCTCACGCACAGGATAAACAGGTCAATGCAGTATTCAATATATCAATGTGAAGCACTAATAAATGGAAAAAAAAAAAAAAAAGCAGTTGGCTTACTGTCACTGAAGAATACATTAATTTTACTGGAATGACATTAAACTAATATCTACAACTGGAGTGACTTGTTACATACAAAACTGGCACTATTGTAAGTGCATCTCTGCACTTTATTTTCCCTTTTGGACCAATATGTAATCTGTCTCAGTCTATCCTCCGTCCAAGGGCTAAAGACACTCACTGAAAAAAATAGGTGTAGGATTTACTCGGAAACATTTTCAGTCTACAAATAATACACAAATAATTACAAAGAAATGGCACGTAACTTGAATTAAAAATGTAATTATTAAGTTGAGATTAAATTATGAAGTTGAAATATTAAGCTGAAATAGGCTATTCTTGTAAAACGCACTCCAATAATCTTTGTTTTATTTAATACTTTGAATAATCACTTTTTACAGTGCATACATGGTTCCTAAATGATAATGAAAAGGAAGCCTAAGCAATTGTCAGCGTCTCTTGTAGCCGGTCGATGAGATACTTGCCAAAGCCACCTGTGCTGTCACTAGTGCAGCCCACTCTGCGAGCGCTGGTCAAGAGGTCACCGATGAGTTTGACCTTTGGGACGAGGGGCTGAATGAACTGACTTTTGATTACGCTGGCGGTGTGTGGATCTCCGTACTCATGCGCCAGCTGATTCAGCTCCACCATAACGCTCATCTCCTCCTTCCACTGGTTAAGCATGATCCCCAGAGCAGGGAGGATGGCACACACCTCTTCAGTGCCTGGCCTCTGTAAATGTTACATATTGTACGTTAAATATAAAATTAAACGGTTCTGGATGCTGATTGGTCAATGCAGAGTTCCAGCACCCCTCTGAAATCTAATAGCCCCCTACAGGCGCATGTGAGGGAAGCCCGTGAGTCCCCGGATGTGAGGAAGTCTGTGTCAAGTGTGCCATTTGGGACAGGGACAGGGACAGTCTAACCAATTAGACACAAAATTTAGTTCAGAAAATCACGCTAGTATAACATGGCACTCAAGGCTGTGTTATACTAGCGTGATTTTCTGAACTAAATTTTGTGTCTAATTGGTTAGGTATTCATCATGAAGAATCACTGCAAATCACATTTGGGCACGTGCCAAATACTTTGAAGCGTACCTTTTGTATTTATGTTGGTTTCATATGGTTTAAAAAACAATGTAACGTTTTTAAGAAAAGTATAAACATTTTTCTCACTATAAAAATGTCATGAGGTGTTACCAACAAGTAAATATAACATTTTCCTTACATCTTGAATACATGTGAGTGTGCTTAATCATTATTTTTAACAACATTTTTGAATATATTTTTTTAAAGGTAAAAAGTATTTTACAAATATCACAAATTATTTATTCAAAACATCATTACGTTTTTGGGAGTCACACCACATGACATTTTACAAACCTGAACAAGCCTTGATTTATCAAAAAAAATGTTCTTACTGCAGTATTTTCCTCCCCGCTGGGTCAGATACTGCAGCATTGCCTCTGCCCGCTCTAGTTCCTTCACTGATTCCTGATGAAAATACGCAGCCACTCTGGGCAAAGCAAGATCACTCTGCTCAAAGATTTTGGCCTGAAACAGAACAGAAGACAGATCTGATTTAGATGATATTAACTGGAAAATGATTTTGCTAACCACAGTTTCCTGTATGGTTTCCTGTAAGTGAAGAAAAGGGGTCGGTATGTTGTCGTTTGAAGTGTTTTGGATTTCTGTGAATTTATTTAAAACATAAAAAAATAAAAATAAAATCAAACCAATAAAATAAATGTCCATGACTATGAATACACATTAACTCCTTCTATTTCAGCCCTCAAGTTTGCTAAAGCCATATTTATTCTCTCTGGTCATTTTTTTTTTTTTTCAGTTTCAGTTTACGTTTCAGTTTTAACTGTATGTTTTTGTCTAGTTAGTTAGAGTGTTCTAGTTTAAATATGGAGAAAAAAACCCAAAAAACATACTGATTGATTTTTATTAAAATACTGTTGACATAGTGACCTATGATTTGGGGACAAAATTAACATACAACAGTATAACATAAAAAAATATAACAGTTTTGTCTTAAATTTTGAAATTTACATTTTGAAACTTTGTGTGCCAAATCAAAAAAAAAAAAAAAAAGTAATGTGATGAGAAGCCATTTTGCTGGCCTACTTTGGATATTCCATTTGATATTTTGTGTCATTAAATCGATATTTTTGTTTAAAAATGGTAAAAACGTTTTTCAAAATTCCATAAAGTAACATGAATTCAAAGATAACATTTCTAAGAACTTTTTTAAAGTACATTTTTAAAAGGTTACTCATGTTTATCATCTCAGACATCTTTTGTTATTGCGCAATGATGTTTTTAATGAAAGTTATACAGTGATCAAATCCAGTGTTTTTGCATTAGGGCGTCTTCCCAAACAGAACACATACGTCTGCAAGATGTCTGTTAAAGATCGCTTCATCTGGAAAGCATCTGCCGAGTACAAACATCTGACAGACGTCTTTAAGATGTCAGTTTTACATACCCAGACAGCAAGCAGTGTCGGCTCAGATCCGGCCCACATCTGGCCCGCATGGATTTCACATGGGCCAGATGTGGGCCGGATCTGGGCCAAAACTATGTTGCTGTCTGGGTACACTCTAAATCATAAACATCTTCCAGACATCTTCTAAACGCCTATTTGACATCTGATAAGAAACCTCGTATAGATGTATTGCAGATGAGCAAACACTAAAAAATAAGTCTTACAGATGTAATGCAGATGTCAAATAGATGTCTCCGTGATGTAGGCTACGTGTTCTATCGGGTTTGGCAATCTAAAACGTTATAAAGCAACGCAGTAAATTAAAGCAGCTTAATTCTGCAACACTGTTAATTTGGGGTGTTATAGGCTATAATATCTTTGCATCATGTTTACAGTAAAGTTCTTACCAGCGCTTCGAGTCTGTAAGAGACCTCCATAAGCAAAGTGGAAACTCCACACAGACTTTCCTCCACAACAGTCGGGAAGTTTTGCCTCGCCAGACTCCCAGCAGAAGAGAAATGCGTTTTACAGAGGGGAAGGCAAGTTTTTATTCGCTTTACTCTCGGTTCCGACATGTTTAAGCTGTAAAGGAAATCAATACCGAACGTCAATACTGTCCTCGGTAATTTCTCGCGTTTCGTATATCCTCACATGACTAGTATGTGTCATACTAGTATGAGTTTGTCGTATTTCCCTGTTGTGAAGAAATAGGCTAAATGAGCTAATGTTGAAATAGTGATGAACTAATATTCAAAGTCGACGGCTGCTGCTGGATAAACGCAGATGAGGGAGGACGAAACATGCAAACGTTTCCCGTTCATTCTGTCAAGTTCATCCGGTAGCTATTATGTGGGTGGATGCGTGAGTGGGCAACCTGCCATACGAACATGCACTATGGTTTTACCAGCCTATAGTTTACTGTTATATTGATACAACAATGATACTAAATGATCCAGAGTGAGTGGATCTACTCATTATATGATTATTTTATGGCAGTTTCCCTGGAGAGCAGCCTAAACAGGTGTGCTGCCCTTGTAAAAAAGAAGATGAGGCTTTTTGTATTTGAATGGACTTAAAATCTTAAGTACTGTACTTGCAGATAATATAATATTAATTAATAAACTCAGATAGCACATGTACGTCTGCAAGATGTCTATTAAAGATCGCTTCATCTGGAAAGCATCTGCTGTGTACAAACATCTGATAAACGTCTTTAAGATGTCAGTTTTACATACACTCTAAATCATAAACATCTTAAAGACATTTTCTAAACGTCTATTTTACATCTGATAGGAAACGTCCTATAGATGTATTGCAGATGAGCAAACACTAAAAAAATAAGTCTTGTAGATGTAAATGCAGACGTCAAATAGATGTATCCGTGATGTACGTGTGCTATCAGGGAAAGACCATTTAAATGTGCTTAAAGAAAGTTAACTTTCATGACAGTTCATGACTAACACACCTAAGTACACTTTTTAAAAGTGCACTTTGTAATAATGTAAAATTAAAAGTTTTACTTTAAAGTATATCTAAATCATTATGTTTGAATAATCTTTTGACATGCTCCAAAGTACACTTATTTTGATGTGTTGACTAACATACTAAAGCACACGTAAAATACTTGATTATAAACTGCAGTGTGTTATTTTAAATTAATATATTTTAAATGTACTAAATTGCAACTTCATCATTACAAATGTGTCGTTACAAATATATTTAAATACATGACAGAAAAGTTGCAATGGAAATGACATTAAAGTATATTTTAGTTTACCATAAATGCTTATCAGTACACTTTAAACATATTTCAAAGAACATAGAAGAAACTATGAAATATATATAAAGGTATAATAAAGTGGATCAAAAAAGCACTCATCAATTAATTACATGTATAATAAATTTAAATTATAATTTATTTTAATTTATTAATTTAATTTTAAATGGCATGCAATAAAATGTCCAAAAACATTACATTCAATTTGCACTTAAGTATATATTTTTAAGTACGTATATTACTTCCATAACAAGCCCTCTTTTTTAACAGTATCCAAAAAACTTTCTCACAAGACTGGTTTAAGCTTGTCTCCATTGCCTGGCCAAGCTGGTGCTTTTAGGCTTCTAGTCTAAGCAGCTCAAAAGTGGCCAAACCCATCTAAAACCTGCCAAAAGACCATCTATCAATGGTTTACATTTTCTGTTTTTGTAATATCTAAAAAAAAAAAAAAAAAAAAAAAAACAAAATGAAATCACTTTTTTTTTTAATGATGCTGATATCACAAAAGTGATAAAGAGCTAAAGTATCACTAACCTTCTGTACTTGCTGTGCCAGAGCAACTAGATCCATAGCATAATGTAATCACTTACTCTAAAGTTTGGAAACACCATGACAGTTTTGCATTTTTGAAAGAAACAATAAATTTATTCTCCAAGGACATATTCAATTAATAATTAAAAAAATGACAGTAATTTAAGTAATGTGAAATGATATGAATATGTATGAATATATTCAGGTGAGGTTTCATCTCATCACAGAAGTTTACTTCACTGTTGGTTTGTATACTCAATCTTAGTTAAGCCCGTTCACACCAAGAGTGATAACTATAATGATAACTATATTAGCGTTCACATCAGTGCACAATAATGCTTTGTTTATTATAATCATGTGCTGCTTTTATGTCGTCTGTCACTTTAAATGCACAAGCTCTTTAAATCAGGATGGTTTCTGATTGGCTGTCAGTTTTTTTTTTCATCCATCAGCTGCCACTTTAACTATCTTATTTTTAATTGCCAGCCTCAGATGTGGATTTTTCTTTGAAACTCTGTCTAAAACCCAGCACAAAAGATGCCAAAAAGAGTCATGCATGTATATATGATAACATGCTCCTTTTCTACTCAAATCAAGGGATTCGGTTGTCCTTTGGGGTCTTCGCTGTGTCCCCCTGCCCTCTTCCCTGGTAGACCCGTCTCTTGTTTCATCAGTGGCCCGTGTCATTGCGCCCTCCTAGTGCAGATGACTGACACGAGGGACTGGGAGATCCCCGGGGGCCAGTTGGGTCTGGATGGAAGAAAGGGGAACACACAGTGTATGTCCAGCATCGGGTCAACAGGACCTGCACTCTTGACTTGACCTCTGCACCTCTCAGACACATATACAATGACCTGAGCTGAACTTAAGTGTAACAAATTACACACACACACTCTGGGGGAACAGACCTGGATCAGGCTAAATTTCTGTTTGAATTCGGAATAAGGGTTGCGAGCGTGACCCACATTTTAGGTCACAGCCTGTGGCTCTTGTACATCGTGGTGGGTATGTGTTGTGTGCCCTAAGATAACGATGCAACAGAGCTGTCATACATTTGGGCAGCTTGCTGTAGACCTCCTTCAAGGATACCACCTGCCTTTTGTCCATGTTTTGTCTTTGTCTGTGAGTTTCTTAGTGCAGCTGTCCAAAGACACTCAAGACTTTCGGTCTTGTTTCTGGTTTTGCTGGTCTTGTTTCTCATCTCACCTGAAATATTCTCCAAACATTCTTCAAATGTTGTTTGTTTTGACTTCTCTTAATACACTTGTATAAATCCAGTGACAATGTCTGACATGACACAAAAAAAGCAAAAAAAAACAAAATAAAACATGAATCATTCTTGATCAATGATTCTTTGACCTTTTTATCATTTGTTTTAGATTTTAGTCCTGTTTACTGATTTAAACAAACAAATATTTATTTAACCTATTGTCACAGTCTGACAAAATCAGTTCCAATACACCCCAAAATCAAAGGCAAAAAACGATATATATATAATGTTTTGAAAGAAGTCTCTTTTGACGTCTTTCTCTTTTCTGCATTTATTTTTTTATTTTTTTTGATGAATAGAAAGTTCAAAATAACATAATTTATTTGAAATACAATTAGAATAGAAATAAATTAGAATGTTAGAATATAATTAGAATTAGAATAGAAACTTATATGAGATTATAAATGTCTCTACTGTCACCTTTGATCAATTTAATGCTTCCTTACTAAATAAAAGTAACAATTTAGAATATATATATATATATATATATATACATATACTGTATATTACATAAAAAAATACATTTTATTTCTAAGACCATTGACTTTTGCAGTATGACATTATTTGTATGACAGTTCATTCATATTTTCAAATTTTCTTCATATTCTCTTCACCATAATGCTTTTAACTTTTTATTATTCTCATTGGTGATGATTAGATTCTCATTACAATAATACATGTTTACAAATGCATGCCAGAAATTGGGGCTTCACTTTCTTCATGCTATATGCTGTATTCATTTTTAAAATGTTTTCAATTTCTTTCATATATTTTTTAGGTGAAACATGACCTGTTCTTTATATATTTTTGTGACATTTATCCAAAAATTACGTTTTGCTTATGTTTGCTCTATACTGTGTATTCTCAGTACAAATTTCATGCAATTACCCACCCGGTGTTATCACATAGAATACACATATTTCCATGCATAGACCTACAAATGCTGTTCTGGTGCGTGTTGGTGATGGGACGAGTGCTTCCCACACCTGCTTTGAGCTGTAAAGATGGTGAACTGCCCTGACGAGACATTTTTACAACAACCTTCACTCTGTGTTTGGACAGGCCCAGCGCTAGATTACATTACCAACAGATTACACAATGGACAATGAGTGGACAGAGGGTTCTGCTCGACCGTGTTGCAGCATTACAGGGATTATAGTCCCAAAAACAGATTTATGAATATGACATCCAGGAGTCAGTCATAGTCGCTGTTTGTCTTGCTAACTTCAGCTCTGTAGGCTTAAAGGGACGAGGCCTCTAGCTGCAGTGTCTGGTCTTGTTAAAGACCAGCAGTATTGTCTTTACTTATTGATGATAGTCTAGGGTGGCTCATGCTGGCTAGACGTCGCCCCCTTCATGTTACCGAAACGCAGTAGAGGCTTAACTGTTTAACCCAAAGGGATATCATTTTCTGTCCGAGGAGAGGACGATTCACGCATCCTTTAATGAACATTTGTGGAACTAAATTGTTTTAAAGCTTCTTATGTAGGGCTTGTGTTATTAATTATCTTATGTGCTGATTTGGTGCTCAAGAAACATTTTTTTTCCCACGTTGGAAACGTTTTTTGCTGTTGTTTTGTGAAAACATTAATACACTATCATTTAAAAAAAAAAAAAAAAAACGCTTTCATTCAGTGAGGATGCATTAAATTGAACAAAAGTAGCAGTAAAGACATTTCTAATGTTACAAAAGTTACCAAAGTCAATGTTTTATGAACTTTCTAGTGATCAAAGAACCCTGAAAAAAAATGTATTACAGTTTCCACAAAACCATTGAACAGCAAAAACTGTTTTCAACATCGATGATAATAATAAGAACCTTTATTAATAATTGAGAATCAAATCAGCATTAGAATGATTTCTGAAAGATCATGTGACACTGAAGACTGGAGTAATGAAGCTGAAAATTCAACTTTGCATCACAGGAATAAATGACATTTTAAAATATGTTATAGAAAACTGTTATTTTAAATTGTAATAATAATTCACAGTATTACTGTTTTTACTGCATTTTTGATCAAGTAAATGCAGCCTTGGTGAGCATAAGAGACTTTTTTTTTAAAACATTAAAGGGGTCATATGATGTTGCTAAAAAGAACATTATTTTTGGTGTAATGAAATGTGTTTATGCGGTACTCACGCTGGGGGATCAGCTAGAATATTTTAAACTCACGTGCGAAAGGGTTAAAGGGGTCATATGATTGTGTGA